TTCATCTGTGTGCAAAATATCCCAAAATACTCGATCTAGACATCACATCATAGCTGGATCCTGGACCGCTTTTGCTTCTGGCACCACGCTTTTAATCCTTGCTCAACACAATAAGAAATCAGGCCTCAAATAGAACGAGATGATGTCAGGCAAATATCCTGCAGAAAGTTCCGCTGAAGAAGATAGAGGTGTCGACAATTGTAATTTCTCGTTCCAGTGATTATCTATCTAACTGATTATATCTGGCCTGCTTTATTTATTTGAAGCTGGAGATAATAATCTATATCGGGATGTGTCTGTGTGCTCATATCCAGATGTGGACGAGTGCACGATGGCCAGTCTGTGCCCGGGCCAGCTGTGCCTTAACAGCCCGGGGTCGTACACCTGCAGGAGCTGCGATCCTGGCATGCAGCTGAGTGAGGACGGCGACGGCTGTGAAGGTGAAGCTCGGTCTGGTTTTGTTTACCTGCTGAGGTTGAACTCTGAAGGTTGTGCCGGACCGTTCGGGAGACGGCGCTCAACTCGGAACATGATTACACACAGTCTTTACACGATTCTGTAATTTATCATGACATGATTTATGAGATCAATGCAGAGGAAAGGCTGAGCTGATGAATCCAGGGAGGTTGGATCTGTCATGACATCATGGGAAACACAGACGGGATGATTGTTTATATGGATCCAAACATGGCATCGGTTAGCGGTGTATAGATTTTGCGGCGAGTGTATTTTACTGGGAGCTCGGAGCTACAGCATTAGAGGAAGATCCCCCGCTGACATGTGTCTCTTCGCTGTTGAAAACAGAGCCGGAGTCCAAGTCAGGACCTTTGATAGGATTTTAATGGATGTATCTGATGCCATGGAAAATATTAAGGGCTTAAACTGAAATGAAGTCAACCGAACCTCAGCCCTCTGTTTATGGCACGGAGCTCGTCCTCTTGAACTCGCCGTGTTCACCCACGGGCAGAAACAGAGCGTGCTCATTACTTAACAATAGCCTACACTATTCCTGCGAAAGAAATGTGATCTGTACCATCGAGAGGAATTTCAAATCATCATGCAGCGGCGTACCAGCCACTGTTTGTAGATACGGTAATTTTCCAGCCACCTGTAATAGCGTGCGGTGACCATCCTGCATACTTATCTTTCCACCCTTTTTAATAAAACTCTTTCGCAATAGTCTGATAATAAAGTCTTCCCTTACAGTAAGTTGACTGAATCATAATTTTTTTTTAACAGATAAGACATAACGTAATTAAAAAAAAACACATAGTGGTCTCATTTGTAGCAGAGAACATTTGTTTTCTGGTTGTTCCTTGGGTCTGACCTTTGACCTTTATCACCTTCTTTCCTCAGATATTGATGAGTGCCAGATTCCAGGTGTGTGTCCCACAGGTGTGTGCACCAACATGGCGGGCTCCTTCTCCTGCATGGCCTGCGATCCAGGTTTCGCCGTGGCACCCAGTGGGTCCTCGTGTGAAGGTAGGCGACCTTTGACCTCCTAGATGCACAACAGCTGTGTGGTGAACTGTTCCAACAGTGTAGAAGGAGAGCCGTGGAGATGATGCATGACTTTTCTGACATGTTCAACGTGGTCTGGCTCCTCGTTTGAATAAAAAACTTCACATTTTCAGATGGATTGATTTGCGAGAGTGTGTTATTCTGATGGATTTCCCTCTCTGTGTGTGTGTGGGTGTGGGTGTGTTTTTATCTGTGTCCAGATGTGAATGAATGTGAGGACACCAGTCTGTGTCTCGGGGGTCAGTGTTCCAACACCATTGGCTCCTTCACCTGTTCCTGTCCTGCTGGTCTGGAGCTGGTTGATGGAACGTTCTGCAAAGGTATGACGTGACACGGTGATCGATCAGGTCACGTGTCAAACACAAGGCTCGCAGGCCAAATGCGGCCGGCCAAGTCCTTTTAAGTGACCTGCCAAAGCTTAAAAACTCTTGATATAATCAAGTCTGTGCTGCTTCAGAAGATATTGTGACCATAAATTACAATTACGACAATTAATTTCATGATGCGGACAGATCTGTGAGCAGAGATCTGCTCGGTGCGTTCAAGGACTTCAAGGAGAAGCATCACCTCATCAACTTTAACTAAAACCTGACTCTGAACTGAGATGTCTGTGTTTGTTGTCTCTGATTTTTGTAATTCACTTGAAAAGTTTGATTTGCATCGGAAGTTTCTTAAACTATTATTTCTTTATTATTATTTCATAGAGCAATGTTCAATATCTGTCACTTAAATACATAATATTCAATTGGATAAACATTTGATAATACGTTATGGAGTAGTCTATACCAGTGGTTCTCAAACGTTTTATACAATATAGCAGCATAGGCTATATTAGCTTCGACCACAGGAGAAATGTTTATAAATGTTTAGAAAGATGTTTATGTTTAAATGTTGTATTAATTGTACATGGTATGTTTCAGATTTATTCAACTGAAAATGTAAATGTGAAAATGTGAGAGAGAGAGAGCGCTCGCGTACCACCGGTGGTACGCATACCACAGTTTGAGAACCACTGGTCTATACAGTCTTCCAGTTACAGCACAACTGTATTGCCGATGTGGCCCCCGGTGGAAATGAGTTTGACACTCCTGGCGTAGACTTTATTATAATGCAAACGAATGCTTCTAAAACTCCCACTGGCCTCACAGAACGACTTGGCCGGCGGCTGATTTCAACACATGTGAAGTACATCATCGACATTTAAAGTACACCATTAGTGGCTAAACTCTTCCTGTGGCTACCTCATACTGGCATCTTCACACAGCTCTGTGTGTGTGTGTGTGTGTGTGTGTGTGTGTGTGTGACAGATATCAACGAGTGCCTAACAGTCGTAGGGATCTGTGGAGAAGGAGAGTGTCTCAACACCGAGGGCTCCTACTTGTGCATCTGTCCTGATGGATATACCACGGTCAATGAAAGGACTGGCTGCCAAGGTGTGTGAACAACATTGAATTCATGCATTAATGTTCGACTGCTTGACTCTGTCCAGGGTGGTGAAGTGTGTTGGTGTCAATCATTTATTATTCATAAATGAATGGTCATAAATGTCTGGTTGGAGACTGATGTTGGAACGACACGCCACTGAATGCAACAATTGCATATTTCAAAAGTTAAATTATATAATGTACTGTTATGTACAATTAATTTGGGACGGTCCTTTAGATATACCATGCTGTAGAGCATATTTATATGATTGACAGTTAGATTGTCCGATATAAGGGCCTGGACAGTTGTTTCTTCAGACCAGGCAACATATTATCTTCAAGTTTTATTCATTCATGTACAACATTTGAATAATGCAAAATTGCTAAAGATATCCATCCATCCATCCATCTTCGACCACTTATTCGTTATCGGGTCGCGGGGACAGCAGTCTCCACCCAAATCACACTGCCCCGTACCAACCCCCCCGAACCTTCCTGCAGGTGGTGAGTCCACTGGAAGGTACCAACCGCCCTAACCGGGATTCGAACTTGCCCAGGAGGTGAACCCTGGGGTTCTGAACCAATGACAGAGACACTGCCTCTGGACCAATTTGATACTGGAGACTAGTAAATTAATGTTGATTAAGGATTCTTAAGCTACTGAGGAGTTAAACCTATCACTAAGGTTTTTTTCAACCTTAGGGTCGTGACCCCTTGTAGGGTCACCTGGAATTCACATAGGGTCATCTGAAATGTCTAGTAATTAATAATGACAAAAATGACTCATCAGAGCTGGTTCATCTGAGCTGGTTCATCTTCATGCGATCACACAACTGCACAAGTGACAGCTACTAAAATGTCCAAGGGGGGGCGCCAGGAATTTATGATGTCAAAATGGGGTCACAAGCCGAAGGTTAGGAACTAGAATTCAACTTCACCAAAATGTCAGTTGATCACGGAGCCACAGAGACGTCCAATAAGACTCGCCTTCACACCTCGGTTGTCAGTTTCGTGTCGCGCCGCTAACATCATATTTCCATGTCCGCATGTCTGATGACTATGGAAGGTACCACCACGCTGTACACAAAAGGAGAAGTCAGTCAAACTCCTCACAGAAAGACCATTGTCCAGCCCTGTGAGTGAACTGGTGACCTTCTCACTGTGAGGCAACCGTGTTATGAACAGTAATTGTAATGGGGAATAATTTTTCAGATGACTTTATGGGTTTTGTGTAATTGGGTGAGGCAAAGTCAACACAGGGGGATTGATGGTGATTATGTAATAATATTTTTTAGCAAATATATTGCATTTTACTGTAGACAGCGTAACAGACACATCCTCACGATGCCGACCTGGGTGTGTAGTCCATGCCAGGTACCGTGTGCCTGTCCGGGCTACATATTTTGTGTAATGGACCATGTCCTCATCAACTGTTTCAGCTCTTCCCCTCTCAGCGAGAACTTCAGTTTCATGTTATTCCAGCCGCACCCAGAGACCCAGTGGTCACAGTCACAGTGGAAAGAGAATGTAGCCCCGTCATCTACTAAGGAAGGACTTTTCTCCTCAACAAACTGCAACATTTGCTGTCAAAATATGGGGGGAAAAAAGGCATTGGCTGTGATATCAGACATGGAACAGTGTTATTTTTGGTGGGTGTAGTGACTAGAAGATAAAGTTAAGAAAACGTCACCCTCTAGTCTGTGGTGCAAGGCAGGTGAGGTCTGGGTTTGAAGCAGGTTGGGTGGGATTTCTGGGTCCAACCTATTGTCAGAAATCACCGTCATCGTAATGACGACAGTGTCTCAAAATGTAATGGGCAAAGGACACGAGGAGGTCTTCCAACACAAAGAACCCGAAAGAGGCAGTAATGTAGGATTATGGAGCCAACAGTGTGACCCCACCAACCAACCGACCGACCGACCGACATTCTCCCAGGGCCTGACGTTGCCTTTGATATTATCTATTAGCTCCGAGCATGTTGCCCAACTCGAATCAGGTACTTTGGCTGCGTGCCACAACAAATACCGAGGGCCTAATTATCCTTTAAATCAACAGTTGTCACAGATTTTCCTCCACTCTGCCAGTGTGTACAGCCCTGGCGAAATGAAAGCCAGACTCCCTCGTTACAAGGCTGGAGAGGGAGGTGAAGGGAGGGTGAGGATATGTTGGTCTATGGGATTGACTGATGAGTTGAGTCAGGTGAAACCAGAACGTTGCTTGACCTTATCTTATCAGATGCCAATCTTTAAGACTGCGACATGTGATTTACCACAAACTGAACATGTTTTCAAACTTTCTCAACAGACCTGCTGTGAGTCCATTAAAATAAATATATATACAGTATATATCAAGAACACTCCAGTAAATGTTTATTTATACGTTTTCGTACTGTATAGTCTGGGCTGTTGTTTGTTCTCACTATATTTGGAAATGGTTGTTCCAGAAAGATCCATCTGATATTCAAAGGCTGAACTCATAATAAGGGCCTTGATTATTTTCTTTATTTTTTTCCCTGCCTCTCCTTTACCTCTTTACCCCAGGAACTATTACCTTACGTCTTGTAATTGTACTGGTATTACAATGTTGTAATGTCGCAATTATCCCCCAATCTACAGTTAATCAAGCATGTAGCGTTCATTATTAATTTTTACGAGTTCGGAGGAAATGTTCTCAGCCTGAAAATCTAAAGTGGGGGACCCCCCCCCTCGCCCCAAACCCCCTTTGTTTCCTGTTTGCCAGTAACCCATTAAATCTTCCATCTAAACCAATGGGTTTTGTGTTCAGACGAGCGCTTGATTACACATTCTTTTCATGGTGTGGTGATGCATTTAATAAAGACAGTTGATACCCAGTGATTAATGGCAAAAACAAGTGCGTAAAACTAAAAAATCTCCCATCCTCCCTCAGTTATTTGTCTCATCTTCCTCCCTCCTCTTCTGTCCTTCAGATGTGGACGAATGCAGTAAAGATAATGTTTGCCTCGGAGGCCGGTGTCTCAACACTGATGGATCATTCCTGTGCCTGTGTGAGGCTGGGTTTAAGTTCAGTGATGAAACGTCCGACTGTGAAGGTAAGACAGAGAATGAAATAACTCCATTCCTCCCACTGCTAACTTGTCAATGCTAGTGGAAAAAATGTTTACAATACTTAACCTTTTCTTTAAAAACACACAATCAGAAGTCTTAAAAAAATTAATAAAAAAGTTAGAAGAAAAAATTATTTTGGTTTAAATATTTCAGCTGCCACTGTATCATAGCTAAAGAAATTAGCATTAGCATTAAAAAAGCTAACATATTCACGTAAACCAGCTACATCTTTGGTTACTTCCGGTATGTTCCTCCAGCAGGGGTCGCTGCAACTATAGGGAGTTTTGAGCATAGCTCAACTTTACAGTTGATTTTTCTAGACCATTTAGGTATGACCCCGACTTTTTTGTTCCACCGTTCCTCCTCATTCTATTATTTTCTGTGAACACACAAAAATAAAGCCGCACTGTTATGTTTGCGTGACAACGGGTTCAAAATGGGATTCACCCTAAATCTCTCTTAATCTCCAACCTCTGCCTCGATATTTTATCTCTTTGACTGAGCTAACAGTAACAGCATTAGCTATTTGTTGATCGTCACAATACATTCAGGCTTTAGCATAACAGCCACAGCTCTGTTGGTTATGACTCGTGTGTGCCAATCATAACTGGGCTCCACTAAAAAGTGTACACAGGCTTAGGGGTTCTCCTGCGTGCTCCAGGACCGAGGGGTCCCTGGATTTCATGTCTGGAGCGCCGTACTCCGCTCGCCCCAAAGAAAAGTATGAATGACCCCATTGTCAGAAGGAGGTGTTCTCCTTTCAGAGCGACTCTCCTTAGCTCCTTCACAGGTTCTTTAGTTGCTGCGATAATATTGACCTTGGCCATTCCTGTTGCCTGCTGCGCTTACTGAGGACAGCTATACCACAGGCCCCCGGTCGATGCCTTCTGTATAGCCTGTACACTCAAGGCAGCATAGAAAACAAAGTGCCGTGCACATGAGAGTGCACGGCACTTGCCTTAGTGTCCGACTGCACGTTCTGATGTGATTCAGTTTGTCAGTTACCAACCAACATATTTCTTCCTTTTCCACAGACAAAGATGAATGCAAGGAGTTTGGGAGCTCAGTGTGTGGTACCTGGCAATGCAAGAACACTATTGGCTCCTACCGATGTTTCAAGGGCTGTCAGCCTGGCCTCGAAGGAGAGGACACCAAAGACTGCGGTAAGTGGTCAAACCGCACGTAATGGTCAATAAACAGACACAACTGCAGCAGCCTGAGTTACTTAAACAAATGAACCTCACTGTAAGGTTGGCGCAGGTTCTTCAGAGAAAAGTACAGGGTGAACCCAATTCCACTCACCACTTACTCCCTGCCTGGCATCTGGCACACTGACACAAAGAGAGCCATGTGAATGCAAAGCTATCAGGTGCTCGTAATTCCCCTGCACTCAAGATCACGGGGGAGATGAGGAGAATTGGCCCCGAAAATTGGGGCACTTTGGGAAAAAATAAGTGCACTGTCACGGTGAGCAGCTGACTGGAGCAGCTTCACTCTCCTGACAAAGGAGCAAATGGAGTTGTTCTGGCAGCGGCACAAAGTGGAAACTGATCACCGCTGTTTGCCTTTTGAAAAGGGGAAAGGATTGGCGAGCCATCTCGCATGGTCCCCTGCCTCTGTGTGTGCTCCCCACGGAGGTGCACGGTCACTCAGGTTGACTGGCTGGATATGGAATTGAACTGCATCTGGACAGACGACTGGCCAGCAACAACAGAGCCATCTCTGTGTCCTCAGAGTACGTGGAGCTGACTGTGTGTTTACTGGCATGGTTAGACACCTCGGGCTTGAGGAATTGATGTGGTTTGTTGCACAACAGTGTCAGTTTGTCTGTACTTTATTTCCTAATGATGTCTTGCTTGTCGTTGTTGTTATAGCACCACAGAACAACAAGCCTGGTTTAGGGGAGACAAAAACAAAAGGTCAAAATATTTGCTTCGTATAACGATACGATCCAAACAGCCATCAGAGAATGACAGGCGAAAAAAAAAAGAAAAAGGAAAAGGTTTCTGAGAGCATCAGATTGGAATGATGTGCTGGACTGAAGTGTTTGTCTGCGTACAGTACTGAAAGAGGGAGTGTGCGCCAATGTGTGTGTTTGTGTGTCTTCTTACGCCTGTTTGTATTCGCAAAAAATAAACAAAAGTCTAACGGTTTGTACGGATGCACTCGGACGACGGTCCAGCTCCACATATTTTCACAGCTTTGATTGGAGCGTTAACAGATGAACATCAGTTGACGGGCAGAATGTGCTGCGGCCGCTTTGACGGTCAGTGACGGATTAGACTGCCTCCCTTCCCGTTCACCCGGAACCTGGCCACGTGTGGCCGCCTCTTCACAGCGCTCTCTGACGTTGTCTGTCTGGCACCGGCTGAAGTGTACGGCACATGGGCCTGTGGTTTGATAAGAGCAGAGTCAAACCAGCTGGTCCCGTGGAGCAGAGTTGAAGCAGCTTATACCCCAGTGTGGGATTTTAATTGTCAGTTACCGTCTCTTTACAGACTTGTCAGCCTGTGTATACTCATTTATGACAAACTATAAAGAAAATGATGGAATTTAGAGGTGGAATCCGACTGAAAAATACACTTGTCTAAGAGACATCTGACCAGTGCCAGGTTGGACTCACAGTTGCCCTACGTAGGAGCGTAAATCTCCATGGCGTAGCTTCAACTAGATGTTAAATAATAAAAGATGTTGGAAACATTCCTCAGAGTTGACAGCAGACTCGACGGCTGCGGATCTATCATTTGAATCGACATCTTTAACGCGTCCAAAAGGTTCGGTAGTAGATCGAGATGAGGTGATTGCCGAGCACAACGATCCCATTGTCTTTGTTCAAGAAACTACCTCAGGGAGACTTGATTTTTCTGACATGTTCGTCTGTGGTAAGAAATTATCCCCAATCCTATTTCACCCTCAGCCTTATTCCTGCATTTATGGGAAGATAGACTAGTCCGTTCTGACACCACATTCTGATCTGATCATCCATTGTGATATCACATAAAAACTAATGATTCTCTACGATTTTCTAAAATTTTCCGTGTAACGTTGCTGAGTCTTCCCGAATTGTAGCCTCAGATTTCTGTTCATATCTGACAGGAATGGCACCGTTCTCCTGGTCTGGTCTGTGTTGTACACATTATAGGTTGGCTGTAGAGCAGACAGTGGTCATGAAAGTTACTTTGCCGTTTGATCACCTCAGTTACTGGCTGTCGTTCTGGAAATGCTCTATTAGTCTGTAAAGAATGAGGCTGTTTCTACCTTGACTAGAATGTGAAAAAAAAGAAACCTCAAAAATGTGGGTTGTCAGTCGTCCAGTCAGTCTTTTTCTCCAGCGCAGTAACCAGCAGTAAGTCAACTGGATTGTCTTGGTTCACCCAAGACGTTTCACCTCTCGTTTGTTTCACCTCCTGGGTGAGAAGTGAAACGTCCGCCAACTGTTTCAACCCTTGAAATTGTCAATTTCACAGACAACATTGCACGGCAACGCTCAGATTGGATTGTCCTGCTGACAGTCGCACACTTTTTCCCATCACTTTGGCCCACCCCTTTAATTTTCATGGTCCATCGTCAATCTCTCTTTTACTCAGTGTGCAGATGTAGTAGACATTAGACTAAGAGACCGTAGGTTTTTGGAAATCCAAGGAGAGTTCTGAAACCAGCAGATCATTTCTGGTGTACTTCCCACTGGTTGATACGAACAGTCCACTGGTGAAAAAGTCTTGCCAATTGATTTCTTTTTCTTTTGGCTCAGTTATGTGTGTGATAAGTCCAGTAGATCAGCAGCTCTTCGTGGGCCATGACCTGCCGTGTATGTTGTAATCTTTATTCTTTAAAAACATAAACAGCTCATTATGAGCCACATCTATGAGCCTGGATGCATTAGGTTGCTTCTGTGTGACTGGCAAAATAGACGATGTTATTAACCAGCACCTGGAAGCGTGTTCCTTCTCTCCACTACCTAATAAAACGGCTGGTTTGGGAATATTGCAGCCAAGTAGCCACAAAACTACAAACTTGTTGCCAGGTTATCCCCTGTTGTTATGTTGTGATGCAAACATATTGACTCGTCCCCACAAAGGACACCTAACAACACAGCATTGAGTCATAGCCCCTGCTTGAGAACCAAACCCTGTTACCCACAGAAGCCCAGCGCTACACACAATAGTGGCTTGTTTTACCTCATGATGGGAAGCTGTGGGAGATATTGCCGTCAACCCAATAAAAGTCCAACAAGGGAGGGAGCTCAATTACTCTTGGGCATTTTTGTCTGCTTGTAAAAATCATCAAATATTTAAGAAGAGGTCAAACTCTGTAATTTACAGTTTCTGTGAGGGGCGTTGTTTTATTTTTTCACACCGGCCCTCGAATGGGCAGCGGTTGTCTTTGGCCATACTCTCGGCCCTCATTTAGATCTAGGGGCCGTGACATGAAAAGGAAAAACACTTCTTCTTCTTTTTTTTCCCCCTGTAGCAACATGTCAACCGCAACTGTGCAGTGATGGCTGCCATGTTACTTCACACTGTGTATGTGTGTAATTCCCATGTCATTGTTCGTAGCCTCCACATGAGTTCCCTGAAGTTCTGGTTGTTATTAATAAAAATTGACCCAACGGAGGAAATCGTCTGTGGTTGCACTGCTGTCAACCTGTCACCTCCCTCGATTAAAAAAAAAAAAAAAAAACACTATATTTTGTGTATTGGTTGCGTCATTACTCACGCTGTTGGGCAGATATATGATATTCTTCGACAGGGTGACTTACGTTATACGCCTATTTTAAACCTAGCATCAGATAAAGACTCAGTCAATCTGTCTAGCCTCTGAACCCCCATAAAAAAAAAGAGCACCTAGACTTATCTTCATCTACTAAGGTGTGATGTAACCCCTGCATCTGGGTCCAATCAGACCAGCGCCTGCTCAGAGATTATTGGACCAGTGTGTGCTTGTTGCTTTGCTCCATGTGCTCCGGATTAACACATGGTAAAGAGACCTACACTTGACCCCATCACCATCCCCAATCAGTACATCATCAGATCCAGGAAGCTAGTCTTCCTTGGCCACAACATTAGAAAAGGCGGCCTATCGGGTTTGGGTCGCTGCCCGAGCCCCCCCCGTCTCCCTGTCTGTGTTTGTCTGTGCTGGACGTTTACAGCACTGCATGTGTCATAGCGTAAGTCATTAGTGCGTGGAAAGATCGGGGGAGTCAATCCAACATCCCGCTGTTGCGAGACAAGCTCCTCTCGGAGTTATCTCATTCGGTACTGTTTATTTTTCTCCACAAACCATTAGCATTGTAATGAGCAGGCTGGCTGTCTGCTCAGATGAAAGATCAAGTCATGCAGCGCTGCCACTCAAACAGCATCACAGTCAGATCCACGCAATCCAAAATCCATGAAAACTGGTTTGATCTCATTCCTCTCCGGCAAAATACTTTGATTGCATCTCATCACAACATGTGGCTGTAACAGATTTTTCTTTTTTCCATGTCACACATGAATGAGAATCGGCGCTCAGACCCTGATTATTTCATTTATTAGCAGCGCGCTTTCATCGCAATCCTTTCAGACTTTACAGCTGGCAGATGCTGCCGGTCCAACATTCCTGACTCCACTTAAGAACTTCACACTCGTAGAACAATCACTCAAAAAAATGTTTTTTTAATTTACATTGAACTTTTTAGAAAAACATAAACATGATTGGATCATGTCGTTTCAACTGCGTGATGCAACATCACAGCGAGTGGTTAAAAAATGTGCTGCTGGTGCAACATTTCCAACTCTCACTTTGCAGCTGTAAAATGCTCATGTGGTGGGTTGGTGGGTGCCAGTATGTGCCCATCCCTTCCACTGGTCTATCCACCACGTGTGGGTTCTTCTAAGCATTTCCTGAAAAAGGTTTTACAATGACAAAGGCAATTTTGTCTGCGGAGTTTTATTAGCTTGTGGGAGTCCCCCGTTTGTGACCTCTGTGGCATGTTGGAGCAGCAGCAGCCAAATCAGGACAGAAACACTGACAGAGGATTCTCTCCCTGCAACCCTGAGAAAGTTATCTGTGTTGGAGGGGAAAGACGGGCCGTGGCCAAAGGCTCCAGTCAAGTCAAACGGCTTATGGTGTCTGTGGACCCATTCTTTCTTTCTGTCTTCAATAGAAACAACACTTTTGTTCAGCATACCGATGACATTTCACATTTCAGGTGCAGTGAGGTTGCAGTTTTCGTCAGAAGTTCAACAATGATATATTAGATTGGCAGTCAAGTAAAACTTAATGTAATCAAAATGGAATTCAGAATATTTTAAGTTGTTGAAAAGTTTTCTGTTTTTTTGTGTTTTTTTTTTCTTCAAGCTGCAGTCGCTCTGTTAGAGGTTCTAGTCATGCAAAGGCTGAATGGAGTGAACACAGATGGTTATTGTCAAACAAACAAAAAAAACTCAACAAAAGGTTTACCTCCAAACAGACCCATTGTCATCAATGCAACGGCTAATAAAACCAAAACATGTGTGTCGATATGCTCTATATATTTTGTCTTTCAAATGCAGACTACCTGCAATGATGCACTTTTTAAACCAAGGAGCATAAATTAAATTTTCCCAACTTTTGTTTAATAAATGTTCCATAAATCAGTCTGGAACGCTCGTCCACCACAGCAGCACTGGAACATTTTGTGTGTTTGTTATGCAGAATGATTAAACATTTACTAAACTACACAGTTAGGGGGAAATTAAAAACTAAATAAAATAATTAGTTGTGTTTCAGGAACTGGGCACGGCGCTCAGAAAATAGAGCCGGGAGCGCAGATCTGGAGGTGGAAGTGAAGGTAGAAGCAAAAAAGAACACATGACTGCAGGAAGGCAAGGAAAAGTACAAAGGTTTGAGACCGGCACAAAATTCAAACAGACAAGGCCAGGTCCAAAACCTGATCAGTGTAAAAAACAGACCAGACCAGAACAGAACACTGAAAAGGTAACACACATGGCACAAAGACAGTCTGGCAGAGAGTGATTGGAAACAGAACAGTGTATATGTGAGGGAGCCAGTGATGTGATGGGGAACGGGGGGGTTGGGGGGGGCAGCACGACAAGCTGTAGGGTTAGGTACTGAGGATGGATGGATGGATGGATGGATGGATGGATGGATGGAAAGATGGATGGATAGATGGATGGATAGATGTATAAATGGTCGATGGATGGATGAAGAATGGCTAGGTGTATTGTTTGATGGATGATTTGATGGGTACATGGTGGATGGATGGATGGGTGATGGATGAATGGATGGATGGATGGTTAGGTGTATAGGTTGATGGATGAATAGTTGGGTACATGCTGGATGGATGGATGGATGGATTGATGGGTTGGTTGGTTGATGGATAGATGGTGGATGATGGATGAAGAATGGCTAGCTGTATCGGTTGATGTATGAATTGTTGGATAAAAGATGGATGATTGGATGAAGAATGGCTAGCTGTATCGGTTGATGGATGATTTGATGGGTACATGGTGGATGGATGGATGGATGGATGGTTAGGTGTATCGGTTGATGGATGAATTGTTGTATACATGGTGGATGGATGGATGGACGGATGGATGGATGCATTGATGGGTTGGTTAGTTGATGGATAAATGGTGGATGGATGGATGGATTGGTAGATGGACAAGTGGATGGATGGATGGGTTGGTTGTTTGATGGATAAAAGATAGATGATTGGATGAAGAATGGCTAGCTGTATCGGTTGATGGATGAATTGTTGGATAAATGGAGGATGGATGGATGGATGGATGGATGGATGATAGATGGATGAAGAACGACTAGGTGTATCGGTTGATGGATGATTTGATGGGTACATGGTGGATGGATGGATGGATGGATGGTTAGGTGTATCGGTTGATGGATGAATTGTTGTATACATGGTGGATGGATGGATGGACGGATGGATGGATGCATTGATGGGTTGGTTAGTTGATGGATAAATGGTGGATGGATGGATGGATTGGTAGATGGACAAGTGGATGGATGGATGGGTTGGGTGTTTGATGGATAAAAGATAGATGATTGGATGAAGAATGGCTAGCTGTATCGGTTGATGGATGAATTGTTGGATAAATGGTGGATGGATGGATGGACGGATGGATGGATGCATTGATGGGTTGGTTAGTTGATGGATAAATGGTGGATGGATGGATGGATTGGTAGATGGACAAGTGGATGGATGGATGGGTTGGGTGTTTGATGGATAAAAGATAGATGATTGGATGAAGAATGGCTAGCTGTATTGGTTGATGGATGAATTGTTGGATAAATGGTGGATGGATGGATGGATTGGTAGATGGACAAGTGGATGGATGGATGGGTTGGTTGTTTGATGGATAAAAGATAGATGATTGGATGAAGAATGGCTAGCTGTATCGGTTGATGTATGAATTGTTGGATAAAAGATGGATGGATGGATGAAGAATGGCTAGGTGTATCGGTTGATGGATGATTTGATGGGTACATGGTGGATGGATGGATGGATGGATGGTTAGGTGTATCGGTTGATGGATGAATTGTTGTATACATGGTGGATGGATGGATGGACGGATGGATGGATGGATTGATGGGTTGGTTGGTTGATGGATAAATGGTGGATGGATGGATGGATGGATTGATGGGTTGGTTGGTTGATGGATAAATGGTGGATGGATGGATGGATTGGTAGATGGACAAGTGGATGGATGGATGGGTTGGGTGTTTGATGGATAAAAGATAGATGATTGGATGAAGAATGGCTAGCTGTATCGGTTGATGTATGAATTGTTGGATAAAAGATGGATGGATGGATGAAGAATGGCTAGGTGTATCGGTTGATGGATGATTTGATGGGTACATGGTGGATGGATGGATGATGGATGGATGGATGGATGGATGGTTAGGTGTATCGGTTGATGGATGAATTGTTGTATACATGGTGGATGGATGGGTGGACGGATGGATGGATGCATTGATGGGTTGGTTAGTTGATGGATAAATGGTGGATGGATGGAGGGATGGAACAATTGTTGGATGGATGGATGGATGGACTGCTGGACGACTGCACTGCAAAAAACAAACGGACTGGACTGAACCTAAACCAGAGATGGATGAACCCACTTGGAGACATGACAGTAATTTAACCAGGAACACTGAGCAGTGGCAGCGGGAACTGAGCAGTGAACAGATTTGTGCCACTAAAGTGTGACCATTAAAGCTTCAGACGGTTGTTTTAAACAATTATAATCAGACCTGCTGGGCTTAAGATGCCAAGACATACAAAATTATGAACCTCAGAAATTGCTAACAAATGTTGCATTGACTCGGTGAGAGAATCAACGGTGCTATGTCACGGTCCACTGTTAACAGACTCAATATGCATGTTTCTCACTTTCTCTCTCTCTCCTCTCTCTCTCTCTCTCTCTCTCTCTCTCTCTCTACTCTGACATATAGCAGCACTCCTTCATGAAACTGGCTTCATGATTTATTGCAATTTAACAAAGGAAAACACTATAGGCTGCCGTCTGCCAAATTGAATTACCAGGTACCCGTTATGGGCGTAGAATCAAGTTCACCAATTATTCCTTGTGACTCCATCCAGTTTCTCTGGACACCTCCTGCTGTCAAACACACTTAAACACATCATATGGAAAGCGGTTTCTGCCAGATGGCTGTCAAAAACTCTTTATGACAGAGCGAAACTTTCAACCATCTTTCTTTTTCTAAGTAGCTGGGTGAATGCTGACTTCAGGGTTACGTGTTCTTGATTGCTTCATTTTGTGCCGTTTGCAAATTCTAAGTGTCAGTTATCATTTCGTTAACACGAAACATACACCTTAATTCACAGCACTGAAGACCAGCAGCGGTCTGGGTCCCTGGGACATTTTGAATTGTTCAATAAGTGGACTGCTTCTTTACAGAGGCCTGTGTAGACGCTTTACTTTTGTGGTTCAGTTAAAAAATTAGATTTAAAATGCTACTAGAGGTCAGTAAATGCATCGTGGGTGTCAGTATGCGCTGTAGAGTGAAGCTACATTTTCGCTCTAAATTGTCCTAAAGTTGGACATGGGGGCGAGATCAGGAACGTTGGTGAGAAATTAAGATAAATGACATGTAAAAGTCCTGCATAAACGCTAAAATGCTAAAATGCTTTTGTCATTTTCTACGCCGTCCATTGGAGAAATGTGGGTATTGCAGGGAAAAGGCAGAAGTATAATGATAATATCAATACATTTGGAGTAATTTCGGAAAAGTTTGCAGGGCCAGATTAAAAATCTGAATGGGCCGCATCCGGCCCCCGGGCCTTAGTTTGCCCATGCCTGCTCTAAATGAATTGACAGAGTGGGTCCATCGTTATCAGACTGGTAATATTTTGGTTTAATTCAGAAAGATCAGTGCTGTGTTTACTGTCCCGACTGACGGAGTAAACGCTAACGAAGCGCCCGCCTCTCTCTGCAGATATTGACGAGTGCCTCAATGAAACCATCTGTGGAAACCACGGCTTCTGCGAGAACACAGACGGCTCCTACCACTGCCAGTGTGACCGCGGCTACACCAACCCAGCTGGAGACACGACCAGATGTGTGGGTGAGTAATCTCTGTCTGAGCCGAAAGGTAAGACAGTGGCTCCTCGGTGTAGCGGTTCAAGCAGAGAGCAGGGAGTCCTGGGTACGATTCTCAGAGGAACCACGTACAGTACATGGCGCCTCCAAGGGGTAGGCTGTTGCATCTGCTGGTAACACAAGAATGTGGGATCGATAAAGCTCTGTAGCCAAGGAACCCAACAGCTGCAAAACTGTTCAAAACCCTAATAACACACACACACATATTGTTGGCCATTAAGTTTTTGTGGCCGACACATTTAAACCTGGATTAAATTATCAATTTATTATGTTATTTATCAGTACACACATCAATAACATCTGTTCAGGAAAAAATGTACAAATGTCCCAGAGCAGGGATTGTTTTCTACTCTGGGTTGGATTAGATTAGATTAGATTATGTTAGATTAGATTACTGTAGATTAAACCTAACAATTACATGGGATTATCATCATGTTGCAAAAAAACAAAGGCAGAATAGACAGTACAATAATAAAGAAAAATAAAAGATTTTTAATTATAAAAATTATCATTAATAACAAACTGTTATACAAAAATATAAATACTAAAACAGAAATTTAAATTTTTTTTTTTAATCTTTCATGTTTACACAAGGAAACTAATATCCACAAATATCAAAAATATAAATACTAAAACAGAAATTAACTTTTATTTTTTTTAATTTTTCATGTTTTAAGATCCACAAATACGCTCAAGGAAAATCTGCACATATTGTTCAGTTCATATATTTTTCACTACATTACTACAGTATTTACTCTCTACTCATTTTGCCTACTCATATTAAAGATGATGATTTTATGCATTTTCTTTATGAAATACATTTTTTTTTCTGTCTGACCCTTTGCTGACCCCGTGCCCACCTCTGCTGCTTCGTCAGATGTGAACGAGTGTGAGATGAGCCTGGCGCTCTGCGGCGGGGCTCTGTGTGAGAACTTCGACGGCAGCTTCCTGTGCATCTGCCCCAGCGACAATGAGGAATTTGATCCTGTCACCAGCCAGTGCCGCTCCCTGGGTAATTAAGCGAAGCTAGGGCTCAGTGTGACTCACGGGACTTAATTCTCCATTCCATGACTGGGAAACGAAGTTTTCCTTGATTTAATGAGTCGTCTATCATTATCCAAACAACAAGGGTGACGAGGTGAACATAACTTTCTCCGTGACTCTTTTGACCTGGCTGTTTTCATTTGTTTTATAAGCTAGAATTATGGTTGGATGAGTTGTCGACAAAGATTTCTATTAGACTAATCCCTCAGTAAAATGATGAAGTAACTCTCACTGCTGAGCCAAGCAAATGCCCCAAGGCCCAAGTTCCTCTAACCCCATTTTCCCACCAAGACAAACAAGTGCAAGGTGTAGCAATTGGCAAACAGCTGTGAAGACACATTGCTCTCTTCACTGCTTAAACCGTCTCAAGTGCAGGCCTTACAGATAGGCACATTATTACACTTTTAAATGACAGCGCTGGTCTCTGTGAGTCATGGAAACACCAGCACGTCCTTTGCTTGAGGGACACGTGTGTACACAAGTGGGGGCGTATTTACATTATCAAGCACGGCGCCCTCCGCAGGGGTGTTTTTTTCTTCTGCCTCCCTGCTAATCCCCAGCTATGCCTTTGTGTACCTTTTTGCCACATTCCACTGTTTGCTTTTGACATGTGTTAATCAATCATGTGAGAGTGAATGGCTTGTTGACTCACAAGCCAGTGTTTCCATGTGGCTAAGCCAGCAGCTTAGCCAAATGTCTGTGGACAAATGAGCAGGCTCAGCAGTGGCAGACGTGGCTGATGCACTACCTGCTGGAGCCATGTGGACACCGTCACTTGACGTGACACCCTGACCCCACCTCGGCCCGACTCTCCTGCACGTTAGCTTATTAGAACGTGTTCTGCAAAACAAGCGAATTTCTACCACCTTCGAAAAATGTATTTTCCACCGACGGTGATTTCATTCCTTTTTGTTTTATTACTTTTTCTTGACCAAGTTAAACACTTGTTTCTCCCAGAGCACCTGGACGTCTGATTTCACTGAACTAAAGAAATATTTTCCGTGTTTACATCAGATACCGACATGACGCCGCCCGCTGCTCCAGAGGAGCCGTCGTCTGTTCCGTCGGCGGAGGAGAGGAAGCAGTGCTACTACAACCTGAACAGCGCCAACATCTGCGATAACGTTCTGTCACACAACACCACCAAGCAGGAGTGCTGCTGCACGGTGGGAGCGGGCTGGGGAGACAACTGTGAGATCCACGCCTGTCCTGTTGTAGGCAGAGGTACAGTTGGACTGTGATGAGACGCGACGAACATGCTAACGTTGCTAATGTCACAAACGACTCCATTTCTTTGTCTCCTCAGATGAGTATAACCAGTTGTGTCCACATGGCAGTGGACTGTTGCTTGTCTCTCTGTCCTCCAGTCAACATCTAGTAGACCAGCAACCCTACATCGGTAACCCTTCCCTTTTTTTTTTGCTTGAACGTATTTTGGGCTATGTTTATCATATGTGATTATTCAACTTATTACTTAACCTCAATTTTCCTATAGCTATGTAGACAAAAATGTCCCATTGATGTCAACTCAGAAAGACACATCCACCAAGTCAGTGGTTCTCAAACTCTTTATACTCTGTTCCACCTGAGAAAACCTTGATCTCTCTGAGTACCACCATGATGACCAACAGTAGAATACAGCAGCGTAGGCCTTCACTGTTAGTGCATAGTATGTTTCAGATTTATTCAATTGAAAATATAAATGTGAAAATATGAATTTTCCCCGCGTACCACTAGAGAGCGCTTGCGTACCACCAGTGGTACACGTACCAGAGTTTGAGGACCACTGCACTAAGGCAGGGTTACATCAAACACCCTGTAGTTCGCCTACAACCATTTGCTTAACATTACAAATATGAACTTGATTGGACCGTGGAAGAGGTCAAGTCAAATCAGGTCACATCCCACCAAGTAACAAGACTTGACATGACTTGACCTTTCACCTGTCCAGTCATGTCACAAGTCAGGTCAAAATGCAATTTTTGCAGTGTAAGGAACAAATTTATTTTGATTTTATTCAAAAAAAATAGAGAAGATTAAGAGTGGTTAGTGCTTTTGCCTTACAGAAAGAAGATCATTGGTTCGATTCCAAGTTTACATGTTATTCCCATGTGTTTTAGGTTTTTCTCCAGGCACTTTTTTTTTATTCTCCTACAGTACAAAAACATACAGAATTAGGTAAATTTGCCACTCTGAATAAAACTGTAGTATGAATGGTCTTCTGTCTCCACACGCACTCTTGAACCGTCCACAGTGTGGACGGTGACTGCTGGGATCAGCTGCAGCTCCCACAGCAACCCTGAAAAGGATTAAGCGGCAGTAGATGAATGAAGTACAAATATTGTAGCTCGTAATCCGAGCTCCTTCAAACAAACTGAGATCACAGTGTGATATAAAGGTGCAGTGCCTGCGACCATGTGTTGTTTGTTTTTTTTTTTTCAAAGGTGTGCGTTTTCTTTTCCTCTCTTCTTAGATGCAAATGAGTGCGAGATGTTTGGTTCTGAAATTTGTAAGAACGGACAATGTTCGAATCTCTTCTCCACCTACACCTGCTACTGTCGTTCTGGCTTCTACTACGACAACATCCGGCTGGAGTGTGTGGGTAAGAAACCAAAGCAGTTTTTCTGTAACCCTGTAATCGAAGTACAGTCTGAAGTGAAGTCACGGATGAATAAGTGTTGGTGCGAAAGTAGGTCTTGGGAACGTGAGGCTAGTACTTAGTAGTAGTGTTTCATGTTGCTGTCAATAAAATATGGTGGCGGTTGTGAAAGTTATGTTCTCGTGAAGTGGAAAATAAACCATAAAATACATGAGCTGATAGCTGTTAGCTTCCACTAGCGACTGGGCTGCAGGTGACCTCAGTGGAAAACCAGATTCTAATACCAGTATTGAATGTCTTCATCCGAATGGCTACGTCCATTTGTTATATACGGTCTACGCCTCCTCCGCTACAAATCACTGCGATTCATTATGACTCTCTCTGACAGTATGTTACCTTTCTCTTTGAATCTTATTTACGATCGAACGTAGTTAAATGTCACGAGTCGTGATCTATTACTAATGACTCATGAACATGTGTGTGTTTGTGTGTGTGTTTCTCTCCATCTATGTGTGTTTTCAGATTATGATGAGTGTAAATTTGCCAATGCCTGCGAGAACGGAGCGTGTGTGAATACGCCCGGCTCCTTCAACTGCTTCTGCAGTCCTCCGTTAGTCCTGGACGGCACACGGCGGCGTTGCATTGGTCTGAACAACAGTGAAGGTGTGACACCGCGGTCATCAGTAACACAAACGTTGCTAACGTGAAATATGGAGAAAAAATAGTTGATTTGAATTCGGTTAACAAACGCAGAAAATGTAATATAAATGGGAATAAATAACAAAAGTGCTGAGGTAAATATAAAAAAACAGGTCTGGTCGTTTTAAGTCTTTAGATTTAATGTGGTGCCAAATATTGTTCAGAATGTGTTACTGTATCGGCTTAAAACAAGATTAATTTAGAATTACAATGTTATTATTATTCCTTAAACTGATATACGTGGATTGTCTCTTTAAATGAGTCGAAATTAGACTCAGTAGGTGGCAGTAATGAAACTAATAAAGTTCATATTTGCCTGTAAAGTCCAAAGAAGAAGAAAGGCTAAAGACATTAGCCTAGCCTAGCCTAGCCTAGCCTAATTTTGGTGATGATTGATTTGTACAGGATCGAAACTAAAAAGAAAAAAAATATTTTTATTAAATTGACTGAAGACAAAGGTAAAGATTCACAAACTTGTTGATATATGTGTTTTATGTACATTGTATTAACTTAATTACGTAAATATTCTATAGTTTAATATCATATCTAGATGTGAACTTCATTTAGTTAATTAATGCATTTTATTTTTGTAGTTCTCTGTTCAATTTTACAGTATTATTTGTGGTTATAAATATTATTTATATGTTTTTAATAATATTTTAATAAATATCTGTATATATATATATAGCTATGTAATCATATCTAGTTGTTGTGTTTAATTGAGTTAATTAACACATTTATAATCATATCTAGTTGTTGTGTTTAATTAAGTTATTTAACACATTTAATTTTTATAGTTCTCTGTTCAATTCATTTTACAGTATTATTTGTGGTCATAAATATTATTGTAAAATACAAAGCAGACATCTCACTTGGGAGCCAAAGGAGCCGGCTCTTTTTTCAGTGAGCCAAGATTTAAGAACCGGCTCTCCTAAAATAGCCTGTGTTTCCATCTCTGTTCTCCTGGTGTTGTTTTTTTTTTTTTTTTGGACACCACTTGCAGGTGACATGTGTGAGGCAAAATCTGGCCAACGTAAAAGCTGTTATAAAAATAACAATAATCTCAGTGCGATCTTATGAAGAACTGGATCACCTTCTCAAAATCCTGCTGGAATAAATAAGCCCTGACGTTTAACGCCGGGGAAAAAGCAGGTCTTCATTACGGAGCCGCGCTGACTCTCACATTTGAAAGCACTGACAAAAATCCTGCCAAGGTTTTCAGCACTTTCTATTTTAAGTCCACCAAATGGCCTAATGGCACTGTCATGGCCATTCAAGCAGGACTCCACTGCCCAAACACAATATTAGTGTCAGTTTATTGGTGTAACATTAATCTGTCAGAGTTTTAACATCGAGTCATTTAACTTGATTTTGAAGCATAAAACTCAAATATGAAATTTGCCTTTAACCTGTTCTACTGTTTTTGTTGTTTTTTTTTTCTTTACATTTGATGAATTTTATTTTTTAATTTTTTAATTTTTTTGCATTTTGTCTCTTAGAAACTGTTGAGCCTGATCATGATGTGCACGTGGACATCTGCTGGCGGCGTCTGGACCAAGACAACGTTTGTGCACAACCTCTGCTGGGAGTCAGAACAACATACACTGAGTGTTGCTGTTTGTATGGATATGCCTGGAGCGGACAGTGTGCCTTCTGCCCCGGGAGAGACACTGGTGAGAAACAAAACACCTATTAAAAACAGAACCTCCTTCTTTTTTTTTTAATGTCTTTACACTCACACGTTGTTGTTGTTGTTGTTGCTGTATCCAGTTGACTATGCAGTCATGTGCAACCTGCCTACAAGTAGAGGAGGCTCAGATAGTCTGAGGGAGCGGCCCGGATATGAGTACGGTGTGGACGAGCCAGAGGAGCCCTTTCTTCCCCCGTACTGGGACAACTACGGCAGCCCCGCTGGGACATATGACACACCTGAAAGTGTTCCTCTCTTCAACGACAACGACTACAGCGTTCAACAGCCTCCTGTACGTGTGCCCATAACACCGCGGGAACGACAGCCACGACCAGTGGAGACCGGTGGGTGTCTTGAGCAGGAGGGGCCACAATGGGGCGCTGAGGGGGCGGGTCTGAAAATTGGAGGGAAGTTTAAAAAAAAGCATTTTTTTTATGATGCTCAAGTTTCCGATGGTACCTGAACGCATCTCGTGTGACAGCTAAAACTTTGGTATATTGATGTCCTTAGCTGTGCAGACCTAGCAGTTTACACTTGTTATCAAGCTGCTCTGCGACCCCAGGCTAGCATATACGTAGTTAGCTAGCCTCTAGTTAGCTTAGTTAGATTTTACAGTATTATTTGTGGTCATAAATATTATTGTAAAATACAAAGCAGACATCTCACTTGGGAGCCAAAGGAGCCGGCTCTTTTTTCAGTGAGCCAAGATTTAAGAACCGGCTCTCCTAAAATAGCCTGTGTTTCCATCTCTGTTCTCCTGGTGTTGTTTTTTTTTTTTTTTTGGACACCACTTGCAGGTGACATGTGTGAGGCAAAATCTGGCCAACGTAAAAGCTGTTATAAAAATAACAATAATCTCAGTGCGATCTTATGAAGAACTGGATCACCTTCTCAAAATCCTGCTGGAATAAATAAGCCCTGACGTTTAACGCCGGGGAAAAAGCAGGTCTTCATTACGGAGCCGCGCTGACTCTCACATTTGAAAGCACTGACAAAAATCCTGCCAAGGTTTTCAGCACTTTCTATTTTAAGTCCACCAAATGGCCTAATGGCACTGTCATGGCCATTCAAGCAGGACTCCACTGCCCAAACACAATATTAGTGTCAGTTTATTGGTGTAACATTAATCTGTCAGAGTTTTAACATCGAGTCATTTAACTTGATTTTGAAGCATAAAACTCAAATATGAAATTTGCCTTTAACCTGTTCTACTGTTTTTGTTGTTTTTTTTTTCTTTACATTTGATGAATTTTATTTTTTAATTTTTTAATTTTTTTGCATTTTGTCTCTTAGAAACTGTTGAGCCTGATCATGATGTGCACGTGGACATCTGCTGGCGGCGTCTGGACCAAGACAACGTTTGTGCACAACCTCTGCTGGGAGTCAGAACAACATACACTGAGTGTTGCTGTTTGTATGGATATGCCTGGAGCGGACAGTGTGCCTTCTGCCCCGGGAGAGACACTGGTGAGAAACAAAACACCTATTAAAAACAGAACCTCCTTCTTTTTTTTTTAATGTCTTTACACTCACACGTTGTTGTTGTTGTTGTTGCTGTATCCAGTTGACTATGCAGTCATGTGCAACCTGCCTACAAGTAGAGGAGGCTCAGATAGTCTGAGGGAGCGGCCCGGATATGAGTACGGTGTGGACGAGCCAGAGGAGCCCTTTCTTCCCCCGTACTGGGACAACTACGGCAGCCCCGCTGGGACATATGACACACCTGAAAGTGTTCCTCTCTTCAACGACAACGACTACAGCGTTCAACAGCCTCCTGTACGTGTGCCCATAACACCGCGGGAACGACAGCCACGACCAGTGGAGACCGGTGGGTGTCTTGAGCAGGAGGGGCCACAATGGGGCGCTGAGGGGGCGGGTCTGAAAATTGGAGGGAAGTTTAAAAAAAAGCATTTTTTTTATGATGCTCAAGTTTCCGATGGTACCTGAACGCATCTCGTGTGACAGCTAAAACTTTGGTATATTGATGTCCTTAGCTGTGCAGACCTAGCAGTTTACACTTGTTATCAAGCTGCTCTGCGACCCCAGGCTAGCATATACGTAGTTAGCTAGCCTCTAGTTAGCTTAGTTAGCTAGGGTAAATGTTTTTTTGACAGAGAAAATACAGTCTAAAAGTAGATTTTTCTTTTCATATTTTGTAGCATTATCTGTGGTTTTGTATAGGGGGTCGTTTGTGGACAGAAACCTTCCTACGATTCCTTTATAGCAGTGGTTACGAAACCTTTACAGAACCCCCGCAATCTCTCCTGTAAATATCACTACTGCCTAGCCTTCGCCCGACGTCGACACATTTGCAGCTACTAACACAGTAAATTTTAAAACTGGCTATTCTTACCCAAAAAAGGAAATAAAATGAAAGGTCAGTAAATTTTTCCCACAGTGGCATAATTTTAAAAATTTAATTAAATCTGACTTCCTGTGTGTCCACTCCAGTTTTTATTGGATTTTACAGTTTCAAAATCTGTGGCAGTGAGGCTTTTATTTTGAAGTAAAAGGGGCTTTTTTTAAGCTAAGCTAGGATGCACCAATGGCTGCATCCTAGCTTAGCTTGACTGATTGGCTTGAAATTGTTATTGATTTACTTTGGCAGGAGTTTTCAACGTTGACACAAAAAGAAGCAAGTTCGTCTTCTTTATCACTAAATCAAACTTACTGGAAGCCACATCTTCTAGCTCAGATGGTTCCAGATGTTGCAGTGATGAGCCAGTTTCCAATACCTTAATTTAAAATTGGAATGTTACATTTCTACAGAAATTACATTCCTTTCAGTCCAGAAGAATTCAACAAATATATTTGTCAACCTCTTGAAAAAAATCATGTGAGTGAGAATATATAAAACCTCTGAGTGACTCACCTTGGAATGGAAATCAGATTTCCCGACATGCCATTACTTTACATACTTTATTACAGGAAAATTAAAGTAAAGTAAAAATTGGAAAGTGGAAAATTAAAGTTTTTTAAGGTTTAAGAAACATTTTTTAACGCACATCTTTGTCTTCTCAGAGCGCTACGCAGGTTTCGAAGGTCTCCAGGCAGAGGAATGTGGAATCCTGAACGGGTGTGAAAACGGCCGCTGCGTCCGAGTGCGAGAAGGTTACACCTGTGACTGCTTTGACGGATACGAGCTGGACTTGAACAAGATGGCCTGTATAGGTAGGTTATTATTTAAAGGAGACCACACAGGTGTTGACAATGTCCAGGAAGTTCCTCCAACTGATGCTGTTACAAATATCGACGTCTCTCTTCACCTCCTGGTCCAGGAGGTGAGGGAAACTCCGAGCTCAAGGAGACGATTTGATTTGACAAGCTTGCATTAAGTTACGTTTTACTGGAACTAAAATAATGAAAGCCGTGAACTCCCCATCACCGCTGCGTTACCCTTTGGTCTGAAATCCCGTTTTCAAACGCTGCCAAGAGTCTGGAGTCCTTGAATCTCCTCCGCTCAGAGTACTGCAGTACTTTAGATGTTGTGTCTTTTAAGTGTATTTTGTTCACTTTGTAGGAAAGTGAGAACGCCTTGTAATAAACTTGTTTGCAATATTCTGATAATGTACACGATTATCTGCTCCAAGGTCAGTCCTTCTCTCTGGTGGAGTACTGCAGTACTTCTGCAGTGGCTTCTCCTTCATCCACAGAAACTGGAGACTAGTCATTTACAGTAACGTTAGCCCAAAAGGAAACCCGGGATTCGGGCCAGAATAAAAACCAAAAGGCTCTCAATGTCGTACTAGGGTTGTCCTCACACCACTAGGAGTTTACTAGTACCAATACTGATTCTGATATCAGTGTATACAGTAGTCTGAGTACCAGCTGCAGTGTTTGAAACCATCATTGTATTTGGATTTCCTCTAGTTTTCAGCTGTTGTCAATGTGTTAAAATAGTTTATGTCTTTAGTTCATTTCATTTAATCAATTTTTTTTGGCAAACTTTATGACTCGCGGGCCACATTGGGTCTCAAAATTTGACCTGGGGGGCCGGGTCAGGGGCAGATAGATCAGGGGTGGCAAACTGTTCCAGAAAGGTTTTTGTTCCAACCAAGCAGCAGCACACCGACTGATCTGAATCTCAAGACAGCTGATTGGTTAGTCACTGTGCTCTGGATAGGTTGGAACCAAAACCTGCAGCCACAGTGGCCCCTTGTGGAACAGTTTGCCACCGCTGAGATAGATGGTGTAAACTAAGACAAATGACAAAAAAGTCATTCATAAAGGTCTTTTTATGCCATCTATTGGGGAAATGAGGGCATTGCAGGCAGAAGTAAAATAATACTTGTTGACAAAAAAGTCATTCATAAAGGTCTTGCCATCTATTGGGGGAAATGAGGGCATTGCAGCGGAAAGGCAGAAGTAAAATAATACTTGGTAAAATTAAGAAAATAATTTGGACAAGTTTGGCGGCCGGATTTAAAAGCCAAATGGGCCGCATCTGGACGGATTTAAAAGCCAAATGGGCCGCATCCAGATCCCGGGCCGTAGTTTGTCCATGTCTGGTTTAGACAAACTAGACACAAAAATCAAGGTGTGTATATTTGACACAACATTTCAAACACTTCCTGATGTCATATCACCTGTCTTCAAGACTTCCTGTCTCCATTTTCAAAATAATAATTCTAGCAAAAGTTGAATGAATTAATCGCACATGAACATTATGGCTGCAGTCATTGTATCCATATGGTCTTAGAGCAACAGCCAATACTTCAACAACACAGAGCAGAGAATAACTAAAGGCAGTTTCTTTGTGTCACTGTCAAAGTAACACAAAAGTAAAGATAAGTGGAATTGAACAGTGTCTCAAATGTCCCCATTAAATACAACAATGTACATCTGTGTTTCACAAACATGTAATACAGTTCAGTTCTTTTCTGTGGCAACTTCTTTCCCAGCAGCCCATCCTCGTTGTTGTTTCTGACAAACTGATGTGTCATCAGACTGTTTTTTTTTTTAAAAGTTTCTTGGCCCAAAAGATCTAAAGGACCTTCTTGGGTCAAAGGTCAAATGTCCCTTTAAGACACTGCACTTCCAAACATGTTCACAATCTGAACAGACCTGGGGTCAAAATGTATTTTCCTTTTTTTATATAAGTAAAACACACAAAACTAACGTAATGAAATTAAATTATATTGAATTGAATTGCACATATTAAATGAATTTAATTTAATGTAATAGACTGTATGGAATAAATAGAATATTCTGTATGTAATCTATTCCATTCAGTACACATTATATAACGTAGAATAGAATAGAAAAATTGAAGTCTACAGTGAGTTTCAAAGGTTTTCTGTCTTTTATTATCGCTCCTTTTTGCACATGAAGGTCATTGGATTTGATAGAATGATGTAGAACAGCTACTCAGTAAACCTTGAGGCAAGGTCAACTACAGTTTCAATATCCAGGAATACATTAAAAAAAATCCCTGGAGAAAAAGTGAGAAAGAGACACAGAGACGCAGAGAGAGAGTCCAGTCCAGTCCAGTCCAGTCCAGTCCAGTCAGCAGATGTAATGCAGGCAGCTGTTCTTCTGTGGAATCTCCCCGCTGACTAACAACTTCTCCTTCTCCGCAGACATTAACGAGTGTGAGGACATCAATGACAAGGTGCCGCTGTGTCAGAACGGGACGTGCTCCAACACCGAGGGCTCCTACAAGTGCACCTGTTTGCCTGGATTCGTGGCGTCTGCACAGCCGCACAAATGCATCCCGACCATCCCAGAGTCTGGGCCCAGGGAGACAAACTGAAAGTCAGACTGTGGGAGCGCCCGGCTTCTTCCTGTTTCCTTTTTCCCCCTTTCTCTTTAAGGACCTGGCACTAAACAGTGACAATGAAACATACCCACTCATTTCTCTACCAGTCTTCATACATATATATATATATATTTACAAACAAATCAAACACACACACACACACATACACACAAACACTGGGCATTTATCACAGACCGTAATGCTTTTCTACACTTTAGGAGGATCAGGAAAACAGTGCAGTGAATGTATAACATGGGATTCATTATTTTGTCAGACATCCGTTTGCCTTAAAGGGATTTTGTGGACAGATTTCCTAACTCAGTAACCCCCCCCCACCCCCTCCAGCCCTCCCTTGCGCAATTTGATATGCAGATATATAATTCTCCTCTGTCGCTCCTTTTTCCTGTTGTGTTATTTATTTCACCTCCGTGTCAGGCCTCCGCAAAGAAACGGCGCGATCGATTTCTCAGCTCCTCCACTTTTATTCGTCTCAACAAATGAATGAATCACAGGCAGCGAGGGGAGATGATGTTTTTATTTTTTTGTCAAACGAGATCAGACAAAAAAGCGTGTTCCGAGCTCCAGCAATATCGTCTCTCTTATTGGTCGGTTTTAGCTGTGGCCTGGGACTCAATGGATGCTAAAAAATAAATAAATAAACAACCACAAATTTGAATTTTCTCCCACAGCGGCCGCCGACGTGGAAGAATCACTGGACCAAGACCATCACACGACCCTTACTTTGAAAGTTTCAGCCTGTCGTCACCCTGGACATGGAAAGACTATAGATGTAAATGATGTCGTTTGAAATGAACTGAAAAGTCTGTACGACTCCATTTCGCCAACGTTAGCGTGAGCGATGACGTATGAAGCTGAAACTGTTCTCCTTCGTTTTTTTTGTTTTTTTTTTCTTTAACAGTGTTAACTTGTTATGTACGCCCGAGACGACGCAGTGCTGCTCATTTAACCTTGGTTTTAAGCTCAGTTCAAAGCTAACACCTAAACCATTATGAGGTACAAGGCTTTCTCCACCAGAACAAAACGCTCATTCAGATGCACTACGTATGATCCATACGTTAACTCAGACCATTCCAATGTAAAAAAACAAACACAGAAGGCTGCATCACAGGTTTGTTTGTACATCAGTTGTTGTTTGTAATCAGGCGTGGGCAAACTTTATGACTCGTGGGCCACAATTGACCTAAAATTGAACAGGGGTCAGAAGCAGATAGATGAATTAAGTTTTGCGGGCCGGATTAAACAGCTGAACGGGCCGTATCCGGCCCCCGGGCCTTAGTTTGCCCATGCCTGCTCTAAATGCACCATAGCACGGCCAACATTTTGTCTCTCATCAAACATTGGACCTGACAGTAAAGCTTTTGTAGATGTATACGTCTATTTGTGTAAAAATGTTTCTTAGGCATATCTTTAATGTTTTAGGAGAGTGGCTGACACTGTACCAGAGCATGTATGTATGTGTGTATGTGCAGGCGTGTGTGTGTGTGTATGTGTATACCCTGCCCTGTGGAGCAGACGATGAAAATATATTTTTGGAAGTGGCAGCACTGTTCTAATCGTAGACGTTGTTTTCCTGTTTTTCACTACAAAGTCAATGCTTTTTGAATTGCAAAAACATACACAGCTAACTGTTACTAACGCTCGTCTCCGTCTGATGATTTGCTCACGATTGTATCCGAAACGTTCATTTTTGGCCTTTGGTCTGCAGGACTGGACTCAGTAGCAACATGAAGGTCTTATCGTTACCCTTCGGGATGTCAAAGGTTGGATCATTTATGCCCTTAATCTGTATTTATAATCTACAAACCTACTGTAGAATGACGTACTATGTTATCTTTGTTTTTTTTTTTCTATCTACTGTACTTGTCTGATTAAATCACCCAAACCTACACAGTCATCTTAACACCTAGGGTAAGTTTCAGTATTCAAAACCTTTCAAACTTACAGTTCAAACTGTCAATAGTTACCTCTTGACTGTAATTACTACCGGACGTCAAAATAAAATCATTAAAATATCTTGGTTCCACTGACAACTACTCTTTCCTCTGTGTAAATTCATACATTTGCTGCTTTGGAATATTGTTATTTGTGGTATATGGTATTTATAATTACTAATGTTAATAAAATAAAATCTTAAAATCTTTTCTTTTTAAGCCAAGCAGTGACTTTCTTAGACAGTTGTGTGAGTTTAAAGAAGGCTGTAAATTGTATGATTTATAAATTATGATTAAACACTTTTATATTGTCCCATTCAGTTTGAATATAAGTTTGCTCGTATGGATCTTCACTATTACTTTCAATGAGACGGCTCCAGTAAAACCGACGTGTAGTCCGAGTGACAGATGGGTTCGTAATGACCTTGGAGTTACATCAAGACATAGAAGAAGTCTGACTCAATTCTTTCGTTTTCAATAATTAAATTGTGCGAAAAAGAAAATCTATGGAGTATATTATCATTTTACATTTCTTTAATAATAAAGTTAACGCAGCTCTAATATATACTAGTGTATTACTATGTGACATTTGTTTTTATGTAAAATATTATATTATGTACGTATTTTTTTCCAATTTATTATGATATAAACCAAAGCCATATGTTGTGTTAAAAATGGCACAAATATTTTTCTCAACCGTAATCAGGAAAAGACCATGACAAGCAGAAAAATACAAATATTTAAATCTGTACTCACGCTGTTTTGTACTGTATATTTATGAATCACGTACTTGATTTATGGGGTCAGTCCTGTCACAAATAAATACAATCATTGTTCAAACATAAATAACCCAGGGTTTAAAAAAAAAAAATCGCGAATAAAAATTGGAATTTTCACGGAGATAGGAACGGTCAGAAATATCGAAAACCAAAACAAATATCTGTTGTGCTGCATCGCCCTCTTGCGATAATTTTAATCTACGCCGTCAGATTCTCTGCCTTTCCAGAAAGTTTTTCCCACAGTCCTCACCATTGGCCAGAAAGAGTATGGGCTTTTCCAGGTGAATTATGGGAAACTGTGTCTAGCTGGTATTAGAAATCTAGCTGGAAAGACCCCGGAGAAAACTACAACCACCCAGAATGCACCGTACCGACGCGTTCAATGGTGTGGAGCCACAACAAGCTCTCGGGTTGCTAACGTGAATTTCAGGAGAATAAAACAATTGCGCAGGGAAGAATAAGTGAAGGCGATATTTTTTACAATTGCGCAGGGAAGAATAAGTGAAGTTAGTAATATTTATGTGTACGGCGATATTTTTGAGCTCGTCATTGTAACTTTGCGAAAGAATGACGAATGTAGCGTAAAGTAATATACTGAATGGGTGAGTTGTACACCGGCTCTCGACACCTGGTGCAAAGGTGTACCGTCTTATTTATGGATTTGTTTTTAACGTAATTGTAATAAGACGTTAACTAGCTGTTCATATATATGTTTTATCCGTCCTGGAGGGGGAGACTGTGCATTTTATTATATTTTATTTACCTCAATGGCAACAGAAGACTATAAGAAACAATGGAACACACCAGGAGACACGTCAACACTAAGAAAGAGAAAGAACTTGTCAGAAAACACTCCTCTGTCAAAAGACCCTGGACGCTGGACACAAGATGACCCCGGGTCCTCGAACGGAACTCTGGCGGAATGTCATGGAAGCGACAGCAACAACCCTCCAGCCACACTGCTGCTGCTGCTGGTGGTGGCTTCTCTGTCTTTCTCCACGCGTTTCCACAGATTGTCAGAGCCTTCGCACGTGTGGTGAGCCTTCTGTAAAAACAAAAACAAAAGCTTCATGGCGGTTGTGGTGTGAAGATGTTTAATGCAGTGGTGTAACTGTGCTGTTCCAGCTGGGATGAAACGCACTTTGGAAAGATGGGAAGCTACTACATCAACAGAAGCTTCTTCTTCGATGTTCATCCTCCTCTTGGAAAAGTGAGAGAATAGAGTTTTTTTATGTTTTATTATTATTTATATGTTTTTTTAAAATAACAAATTATTTAAATGCTAAGAAGCTGTAAAGAGTGTAAGCAGGTTTGGTGGATAATGGATGGAAAATGGATGTGGAGACAGATATTAACATAATATGAGATTAATTAAATGGGCAATGCTATCATCTAGTGGCTTTTACCTTCATGATGGAAAATAGATGTGGAGACAGATATCAACAATTTGAGATTAATTAAATGGATTAACCCAGGCATTGCGTTATTAGGTTTTCATTATCGGAAAAAAAAACCCGATAACAGATATTACATATTATGCTAATATTGGGGCGTAAAATCGGTCGGCCGATATTATCGGACATCCGTAATTATTACATGACTGATCTCCTGTGCTCTTTCCTAGATGCTCATAGGCCTGGCTGGCTACTTGACCGGGTATGATGGAACTTTCCCTTTTGTAAAACCAGGAGATAAATATGAAGACCACAACTATGTTGGGATGAGAGGGGTATGTGACGTTCGTGTTCAAAGATACTGTACGTCTCTGTCAGTCAGCATTTATTTCTGTAGATTTTTATCTGCTCATACAGTGTGTCTGTCCATCTGTCCGTCCGTCTCCTTTCCTCTACAGTTTTGTGCAGTGTTGGGATCCTTTCTGCCAATCTTTGCCTACCTCATAGTGTTGGAATTGTCCCAGTCGAGCACTGCAGCTCTCATCACTGCTGCCGTGCTCATATTTGGTGAGTAGTTGAGTGGTTCTACAAGGCAACATTAGTATTAATAATTGCATGATTTGGGTAAGTCACAGATAAAACACAAAAAAACAACCTGTTTTTATGTGTCCATCTGCTCCAGTAATAAACAGACTACAGAGAACATAAAATCCTTTTTGTTTCTAAGGTCTAGGAACATTGATGAATTGTGACTAATCATGATTAATTGTGATTAACTATGATCGGCAATAATCATGATTAAATGTGATTAATCCACAGCTTCTGTACGAATAATAAGATTACAAATTCTAATACACGGCGTCCTCGGTTTACCACGTCCTCGACCTGACAAAAGTCTTTTTCCATCATTACGACGTACCTCGTTAAAACTCGCCAACTAGTTTGCGTGGGAACTAGATGGCAAGCGGAGAAAACAAATGTGTCATGACGGAGAGCTCTATGCAGAAGACGCACTTGTTTACATTTGCCAGTTGTACACCATACTTTGGATAGTGCTACATTCACTTTCTTTTATTTGTGCCCTTCATTTTAGCTCCCAAATGTAAGTCAGACTCTGCTGTCTTTTTTTACGATCTAGATTATGATGTTAACACTGTGTTAGTGTAGGTGAGCAACATAGGTACTTTTGTACAGGCAAAACTCGAGTTATATCGTGCCATAGGAACAAAAACTCTGGACCTGCTGTTTGTTGTTTCAAAATAGTTCAGAATTTTTCTTATCCTTTTATATATTTCACATATTGAGTACCTTAGACATGTTTCTTTTTCCCCTGACAGACACAGGCTGCATCACCATATCCCAGTACATCTTGTTAGACCCCATTCTCATGTTCTTCATCCTGGCCGCTGTGCTGTGCATGGTCAAGTTCAACCACCTGACACAAAGGTAACAAAAAATTTTTAGTCATTTACCAATAATTAATTAACGTGATAGAATAAGCAGCTGGTCAACAGGAAAATACCATAATCTCTTATTTATCCCATATTGATATGGCTGTTTCCTTTAGGTCATTTTCTGCCTCCTGGTGGTTCTGGCTGGTAATGACAGGAGCAAGCCTGACGGGGGCGTTGGGTGTCAAGTTTGTGGGTCTGTTTGTCATCCTCCTTGTGGGTCTGAACACGATCAGTGACCTGTGGAGACTACTAGGAGACCTTAGCCTTTCAATGGTAAACAAAACTTACCATTACTCACTGTTGATTGGTCACCGTGATGATCTCAGCGCCTGTTTTGAATCAACATCGTCTCACTGCAGGTGGATATTGCGAAACACCTGGTGGCCCGCGTCGTTGGCCTCATCATTCTCCCGCTCTTTCTGTATGTGACAATATTCGCCATTCACTTTGTTGTGCTGAATAAAAGGTGAGTCCAGTTTGATTGACAGGTGTTGAAATGACAGTTGAGGCACAAATACTGCAGTGATTTATTTACTTCTTTTTTACCCAGTGGACCTGGAGACGGTTTCTTCAGCTCTGCCTTCCAGTCACGACTGATTGGTAACAACCTGCACAACGCTTCAATGCCTGAGTGTGAGTTCCAATCACTGTAATTAAATCTAGATTATATTGTAAAGTATTGTAAAGTCATATGTAATTAAATCTAGATTATATTGTAAAAAAAAAAAAAGTCATGTTTTTTTTTATGTTTCTTTCAGACCTGGCGTATGGCTCCACCATTACTGTGAAAAACCTCAGAATCGCCGGAGGGTATTTGCACTCCCACTGGCACTTGTACCCGGAGGGAGTGGGGGCCAAGCAGCAGCAGGTGAGTCCGACTGGTACCAGACATCATTTAGTACCAGTTAATTTAACTTTACCTACTAGACCTGATGTTAATTTTCCAGGTGACGGCCTACCTCCATAAAGACTACAACAATGTGTGGCGTGTTCACAAACAGGATCATAATGAATGTGGGTGGAGAACGTTCATTCAGGGACGAATTAACTCCTGAAAGTGAAAGTCGTGTTTGAGCGTCGTTTGTGTTTTATTCTTTAGCTCAGTCTGGGCCTCCTGATCTGGTCAGACACGGTGACATCATTCGACTGGAGCACAAAGAGTATGTATCTCTATTGAAATTCAAATTGTCGTAATTACCACAAAACTGCATCTGACATAAATTAAAATAAAATTACAAATCAATGTAATTTCCCCATTTATGAGATGACTAAGGAACCACTAACCCACTCTGTAAATGCCCTAGAGCAGGGACTATCAACTGGTGGCCCGCAGGCCGTATCTGGCCCACTGAATTGTAAAACCCAACTGGACTCCAAAATTGTCAGGATCAAAGAGAAAATATTGCGTGGTCCTCACTATTAAAGCAACTCAAAAAAAACAAAAACAACTGAAACTGAAATAACTATCAGTAATTCTTACCATTTATGACTCTATTTACTTTTCATTAGACAAAAAATCATTTTTATCTCATTTTTGTTCCAATATTGTTATTGACCCCTAGTCTAGAGCATGTTTGCGTTCTAAAAATTTTTTTTTTTTTTTTTAACCTCCTTCAGAACAACTCGCAACCTTCACAGCCACCTCCATGAAGCCCCTCTGACCAAGAAACATTTCCAAGTTACAGGTTATGGCATGGTGAGTAGAGAAATTGTTGTGGAAAACACCCAAAATCTCTCCATCGCAATCATAATTTTATGGTGACCGTCCCTGCTGTCTGTGAAGAACGGCACAGGAGACTTGAATGACCTGTGGCAGTTGGAGGTTTGTGGAGGCAAGAAGGGTGACCTGGTGAAGGTGCTACGCAGTAAAGTCCGCTTTCTGCACCGAGCCACAGGCTGTGTGCTTTACTCCTCTGGAAAGACTCTACCAAAGTGGTAAAAAAAAATTGTTGATTTTTTTTATTTTTATTTTTTTATCGTAATGAGACATTTCCACATCCTACATGTTGTGTTTCCACTCAGGGGCTGGGAGCAGGTGGAGGTGACCTGTAGCCCTTACCTGAAGGAGACACCCAGCTCTCAGTGGAACATTGAAGATCACATCAATCCAAAATGTACGTCAACCTTCAGACTTCCACTCGTCCTTATGTCCTGATCAATGTTCTGACCGTTCCGTCGTTATGTCCTGGCAGTACCCAACATCAGCCTGTCGTTGCTCAAGCCCCATTTCCTGGAGATCTTACTGGAGTCTCATATTGTTATGATCAGAGTAAGAAACACTAAAAATGTCATTAATGTTAATTAAAAAAAATGTTTTTTTTAAAATGGCTAAATACTTTTTCTTTCTCTCTTTTTCTCTTTTTTTTAGGGAAACAGTGGTTTGAAACCCAAAGATAATGAGATGAACTCCAAACCTTGGCACTGGCCTATCAACTACCAGGTACATTATATAATTATTACACAACAAATCAAATTTAAATCACAAATGTCAGATTACAGTACAGTGGAATCTCGGCTGGCGAACAAAATTTTGAACTAAAAATTGTCGTACTATAACTCGGTTGCCAAACAAGCCAACAATACCACACAAGCAGCAAGTGATCACTGAGTGTGTGGCGTCAGACGGCGCTCTGGATTTACACGCTAAGAACTGTTGTCTGATTTCACTGGTATTTCTTGCATTGAGCCATTTCTTTTTTTTTTTTTTCATTCCGTAAATCGCCATGGGAACTAAAAAGCTAGTTAAAGTGGAAAGTCGGGAAAAAAGTTGTGAGAACAGCAACAGAAGTAAAGAAAGATTATTCAAAAGCATGAGAATGGCGCTCATGTTTCAGATCTGTCTCTACAGTACAGCTTAGCCATATTGTCCATTTGTATCGGCCACTTATGCATCACGACTCCTCAGCTCTGGTAAGGATGAATGATGTTGCCTTTCCTATTTATAGCATTATCCTTTATTATTATATTTATTATTGTTCATCTTTTTTTGTTAGATCTAATTATTTTCATTAGTTTCGTGTATGAACTTGAACACAAAATACTGTTGAAAAAGTTTGAATCAGCAGTTATCCAGGGTCCAGGAAAGGACTTATCCATTTTACATTGATTCCTATCGGAAAAAATTCTTTCAGTTTTCAAAACCATTCACCTTCAGGAACAAATTAAATTAGAAAACTGAGGTTCCACTGTATTTATTTTAAAATAATTAAATGTGGAATGTTCTGTTTTTTTAAGGGTTTGAGGTTTTCAGGAGTGAATGAGACGGAGTATCGAGTTTATCTGCTGGGAAATCCTGTGAGTTTCTATCTCCTCTCATTTGTTTCGCTTTTTTCCCCATGACTTGATGAGAAGGCTTTCAACAGAACTGTGGTCCTGCAGGTGCTGTGGTGGATGAACCTGGCCAGTCTGGGCCTGTATCTCATCATGTCTGCAGTGGCCTCCGTTGCCCTTCAGAGAGGCTTCTCTCTGGAACCTAAAAGAAAAGGTAGTTGGTGAAAGATGGTAAAACATAAAATGGAGGTTATTTTAATTTAATAAATCATCACCCATCAGCTGTAAAGAGATCATTTGATTAACAGATTTGATCTAATTGACCTTGTGGTGCAGAACACGCTCACGTGTTACTGAGAGGAGGAGGACTCCTGCTTCTGGGTTGGCTGCTCCACTACGCACCGTTCTACACCATGGGCCGTGTCCTCTACTATCACCACTACTTCCCTGCCATGCTGTTCAGCAGCATGCTAACAGGTATCCTACCACACTGCACCAGTGCAGTTTGAACTGTTTGTGACCATTAAAGGGGCCGGGGCAGAGAAATGTACCACAGATGTTCCACATGAGGCCAGGGGCTGGAACTATTTTTCCATATGTTCCCATTATTCCATACGACATGAAACTGTTTCACATTTTTAGCTACAGCTGTATGTGTTAGCGCCTAATGCTAAACATACATTCATACATGTTGTGGCTCCTCAGCCAGCCCAACCATGTGTGCATTATAATTCTGTTAAATGAAAAATTTTGTTTGGAATAATTAAGCAGTTTTAGAAAAGTAAGTCATGATCACAACACTGGAAATACACTCCGCACCTGCCTTACACACAGAAGGTCCTGGGTTCAAGCCCCACAGGCACAACATACTCTATAGCGCCTCACGTGGCAGCCTATGTGGGTTGCAATGTTTATCACTGAATTTCTCCATTGTGGGACCAGTAAAGGACTAATTGTTTGTTTGTTTTTAAACAGTTTAGGATTTTATGGATTATGTTTTTTTTTTTTTTTTTTTTAAACAGTTTAGGATTTTATGAATTATGTATTAAATTTTCACTTGTTTCATGTGTGGAATCACAGACATCTTTTAGTAAGAAATAATCTATGACAATAATTCCAATAATAATAAGTCTTTTTTTCTCTGAGTCATGACTTCCTGAAAATTCTGGTTTTTCTCACAGGAATCACTTTAGATGTGCTGTTCAGAAGTGCAGACTTGTTGCTCCGCCCACCATATTCTGATTGGCTGCAGAGAGCTGGGCTGATGGGACTTCTGTTTACTGTTCTGTACAGGTTAGTAGATCTGATGTGGAATTAAAAACTGTACATTTAGTTGTTATTCAGAACTAATTTATTTACATCAATTTAGCAGTGTGTTGTTGCTTTAAATTATTTTAATTGCATTAATGTGACTTGTTTGTGCTTATTATGCTTTAGTCACTGAACATAACTCAGCTTTTGTTGCTGACTTGGTTAAAGTTTTTGTGACGGTCAACATTAGTACCACAAAATGACAATATTTAGGTTTGATGATTGATTCAATCTTTGTCTTTCTTCCATTCTTTTTTTTCTTGTCAACATTAGTACCACAAAATGACAATATTAAGTTTCAGAGATTGATTTAATCTTTGTCTTTCTTCAATTCCTTTTTTCCTATCTTGTTTTAGTTTCTACCTTTTCCACCCACTCTCTTACGGTATGACTGGTCCCCTGGCACATGAGCCAGGCAGCAGCATGGCTGGACTGAAGTGGATGGACTCCTGGGAGTTCTAGGCCACAACAGTGACACAAATGATGGGACGTGTAGCAACTGTTCTGAAAAAACAAAACAAAAACGTTTACGTCCTTCACAGATCTATGGTCCTAACTGTTCATCGGGTCCAGATTCATTTATTTAATTAAGATCCTTCTCAAGTATTTATGTGTCCTGACATTGTGACAAGTCAAGAACTCAAATGAGTGCAATATAAAACTCTTAAATGTTGGGACACATCACCAAATGGCCTTAAGTCACATCAACATGCAACATCTAGAACTTTTTACAGTGTGTGATAAACTGTACGTGTGATGGTATTAAGCTAAAGTGCCTGAAAGGGTTCATTAATCATTCAAGTGTGAATTGTGACTGTTTAACAAGTATCAGTTTACAAAACTGTTTTGTTACAACATTTTACTTGAACTCACAGAATTCTGCTACTGTGTGTGTGATTGTCAGTGTTATCGTTGTCAGTACTGCAGTGTTTTTGGACACTACTGAGTGATGGTTGTGTACATTTCTGTGTGGTCAATAAAGTGAAATATTCTTGTAGTATTTCATTTCATCTTATCTTAAATATTACTGTTTATATAATTTTTAAAACTTCTATTTTACCAATATCTGTATGACTAGTAAAATTAATCAAATTTGAATTCAATTCTTTCTCTTATTTTTTTATAATTACGTAGTTGTTTCACAGTCATTTTTAATTATTAGTTATTTAAATAATATTTAATCAATTTTATAGTCTGTTTATCATAATTTTAGCGTAGTTTACTTTGCTATGTTCATATAATATACACTGTTGTATTTCTAATTTTACTTCGTTCATTATACGCCCATGTCAAATTCTGTCTTTGTCTTTTAGTTTTATTTTATTACTCTAATAATATATTGTTTCTTTCATAACTATTATGACGTCGTTTTAACATTATGCCGCACTTTCTGTCAATTCTTTGCGTCGAGTTATGTGAATGTGTTTATTTTCTGGTGGCGTGTTTGTGAACTACACCCCACACACGTCAACTGCGTCGTGATTGGTTGTCTTTGGTCACGTGTCACTTTTGAAGATGGCGTCTCCAAATGGAGGTAAATTCTAATTCCTTACTCGACTACGCTGTGTATAAAACGCAAATTTAACCGTATACATCTCACTTAATCGGTAGCAAGTGTTTTCAATCCGAATATACACTTTCGCCGACGACGGAACACAAATGTTTACGCCATATTTTTTGTATTTGGTGTGGTTTTCCCGTCGGCTAATGGGAAGCACAACAGAAAGACAGAGCCAGAACCAACCGTTCACTCAAAACATAAGCCGTTCTACAACACAGCTGCTGCTGCTGCTGCTCCACTCAGGCTACAGGGCGGTTGTCTATCGTTTTCATTGCTTATTGGTTCGACATTTTGTTCACAGCGTTGTCAGTGTTCACTTATTTTACTTTAGTTTCCATTTGGCGTTCTGTTTTGAACAAAACGTTATTATAAGTGTTATTTTTCTGCTCTGGTGTAACCGAAAATCCATTTTATAGGGAAACACACTAAAAATTCAATCGCCTGGTATTCTTTTTATTTATTTATTTTTTACCGGTCTCCAATAGACAGTTAATGATCTACTGGGGTCAGTTTAAGGTGAAGTTATTTTATAGTCTCTTTGTGTAGGCAGATTTGGCTCATTACTAGTTTCATTTTTCTAGAATATTTATTTTATTTTTTAAATCTTTTCTTCAGAGACTGTTATGGTCAATACGACTGTATTTTCGTTTGTTTTTCCTCTTTATCACGTGAGGAATATTCAACCACAACATGACACTTCAAGTCTACATGTGGCTAAATCCTACACAGTGTATTTTTAACATTCTGCAGCCTTTTAAATTGATTAAAGAGTGTGTTATTTTGTTTACTCAGGCTGTAATACCATCACAAGTGCTTTTTTTTTAAAAAAAGCTGTAAGGTACAGCAAAGGACAGATTATAAACACGCTATATATCAGGTGGCACTAACCGTATTTGTTGGAGGTCCAGAACATTTCTGCACAGACACCTTGGGGGTTGGATACTTTCATAAAATTAAAGACAAAATCACATTTTTGTCATTTTTACATTATTATTTGATTATTGTTATATTATTGTATGTTTCGGAATCCAGTTGTGGGCCAAATTAGATAATACGGTGGGCTGGATTTGGCCCGTGGGCTGCCAGAGACAGTTACTTGCTAGGTGTGAGACATTGTTTTAAATACTGTTTTTAAATTAATTTAAATTATTCTCATTTCAATTAGTTTTATTTCTTCTTGACAGGTGATGATTTCGAGTCATCTCTGTTGAGTTTTGAGAAGTTGGACCGAGCATCACCAGACTTGTGGCCTGAACGGTGTAAGTTCACATCCTCTTTGTCCTTGTGTCAACATTAGTTATTACTGCACTGCGTTTTATTATTGTTTTAATGTTATATTATTCTGTCATTTCTCCCTCAGTGCCGGGGGTTGCGGAATTTGCTGCCTCTTGTAAAAATGTGAGATTGATTTAATAGGACTTACTTTAATTTGCACCGCAAATCGTAAAATATTCTCATGGGCTGTGTAAATCTTTTGCGAGACCTTTGCTGTTTCTTACATTACAGCCTATCACTAATTCCCCTCCCAAGTGGATGGCTGAACTGGAGAGTGAGGACATTGAAATGTTGAAAGGTGAGTCTGTGTGCTGTTCAGTCGGACTGACGGTTGTTTTAGTTTATGTGAAAAGTCGGGCTGTTAAACAAAACGTTTTCTAAAATCTAATTAATCTCACGGTAACTGTGGATTCATTTGGATTAATCATTATTAATTGCAATTTATCATGATTAATCAAGATAAATCCACAGCCCAATATTCCTTAATTTGGAAACAAAACAAACCCCAAAACAAACTTTTTTCTGTATATTAGTGGAAGAGAACGATAGATGACTGGAGTTAGATATATATATATATATATATATGGAAATTTTCATAATGCTTGGAGTTGAGATTGTATTTTGGAGTTGAGATGCAATTTAAGCTTGAAAACCACATGTGTATGGACTGTCCACCACAGCAGTGATAAGTGGACAGACAGTCTAATTATTGCTCCTGAACGCTAGTTTAATTTTTTTTTTAAATAATGTTTTTCTAATAGTTTAATATTTACTATGACATGTTAGTAATATTTGTTTATTTATGGTGTTTTATTGTATTGTGTGTTATTATTGTGTCTCATGGCATCTTTTGTATTTGTTGTTTCGCTGAATTTCTAATGTGTGTAAAGAACTTTTCCTAGTGTCTCTGGGTTGGGATTAATAGAAGACATCAGATTAAAGTGATTATTGTATTCTATGTAAATGTTTCCTTTTTCACTTTTATAATGTCTTTCCAGTCAGTTCTTGACCATTTGAAATAATGTCTACTGAAATAATGTCCACTGTGAATCCTATTATTAATTACCTGTAGTTAAAAACCCTTCATGTTCCACCCCCAGAGCTGGGGAGTCTGACCACAGCCAACCTGATGGAGAAGGTCAAAGGTCTTCAGAACTTTGCCTACCAGCTGGGCTTGGAGGAATGTAAGTACCTGAGCAACACAAGGATACACACTGTGTTCAGTTGAACTACCTGGTCTGACCACCAGATGGTGCCCACAGCCTATTTTCCGTGTATTGGATTTCCAAGTCCTCTTTGTTTCCCTCACATTCAAACCCCACTGTTAGATTCCCGGGAGGTTTTAAACCAATGATCTGAGAGATAATGATAAAAAACAAATGACTTTTAAACACTGCAACTGAGATTAAAAACTGAAACTGAGGTCTTAAAATAACAGAAGAAAATAGTGGGGTTCCAAAAAAGAGCTCATACAAAAAGGGCTGGATCATTTGATGGATGTGAAATCTAGTTTTTAATCCATTCCCTGCAACCTCCATCGTCATAATCCTTGTGGAGTGTGGATTAAGGAGTTAAGTGCTTTTATTTTCCAAAGAGGAAAAAAATGGTTATTAATTTTTTCTGTGAAAACAAGCAGTGAAGAATGACTGTCCCTGTGGTGATGAAAATCAAAACATCATAAACACTTCTTGACCTAAGACGCTGAACGATCTTAAAATTTTTCTTTTTTTGATTTTCCAATTCATACTTTATAATTTTAAGCCTTTTCCATTGGCTTTTGGCGGAGAAACGAAGGAGAGATCTGATGAATATGAGCAGAGAAAGTTATTGTCCACAGTTATGTTTACAGATTGTGTGATTTTTCGGACCAGATTGTGTGAACAGTTTTATGGCCCGTGGCTTCAGTGTGATGTACAAACATCCACAAAGGGAGGGTCTGTGGAGCATGTGTCGTATTTGCATAGAGCACCAGTCACAGAGTGATTTTGTTGAGTGAGTACCTAATCTGCCCCCAGTCCAAAGCCACAGGAGCATGTAATCTGGCTGCCATGAAGACATCGCCTGACGTGTGTCGTGGGACCACAGGCTTTTTTTTTTTTTTTTTTTGCAATCACGTCGTGTTCCCTGGGATGAAGGGACACAATGACGGTTATTACTGGTGTCGGATCGGTCCAGTAATGGGCGCCTGTTTAATGCTCTCTGGTTTAATTTTCTCGGCTGTCAGTGAAGGCCTTGTAAATCTCGGCCACTTTTTCATCACGTTTGTGCGCTCTTCACTGCCCATAAACGAGACACCACAGCCAGCCATGGCAGAGGAAGGGCAGGGGACAGGATTTACTGCCCCTCCCCCTTCGACATGTGGACCATTAAAGAGTGGGCCTGTTAATGGGGCGAGCACAATCAAGCAGTGAAACCTCACCCACTCCACTGCAGTGGGAGAGGAGACCCGGAGCACACATTACGAGCCCCTCATTGCTCCACCTCAGCAGCACAGCTCATGGCTTCTGCTCTACTTTCATACTGTGCTCCGCGCATATTTTTTATTTTTTTTACCCACATGATCTATTAACAAACATGTGAGCGAAGGATGCGACGCCTACTTTGGCCCCTCCCTCTCCCCACCACCAGCACCCTGCAATGTGCCGTGTGAAGCCGGCCTGGTCTACTAACCCCAGGAGGCTTTGACGCGTGCCTCTTCTTCAGGCCCCAGCTGTTACCCCTCCCCGTGATGAATGCCCCTGTCGTGGGCCACTGAGCGGCGGCGTCAAGCCCAGAGTCTCCGGGGAAAGCTGAGGACTCTGATAAGTGCTGTTATTGGAGGTAATTGAAAGCTGAGTGTTCCTTTGGGAGTCAGTGGAGAGGACTGTCTCCCCCACCCACCCACACCCCGGGGCATCTAACATGGTGGTTGGAGTCAGTGGTGGTGCTCTATCACACTTGTAGCCTCAAGGCCACACATGAGCATTTACTACCTGTGTGGAAGTCTTTAACATGGAGGTCTGCCATGACTTTTTAGCACCTGTGACATCACACAGTAGAGACACTGTGTATCAAGTGTTGCAAGGGTCTCAAACCCCTGGTGCGGGGACCGGTGCCGGTCCGTAGGTCAATTCGTACCGGGTCGAAGTGGGACACTGTGAAAAAATGTACTTAATTTTACTAAAATACTCCCTTTACTTTTTCATTGAAAGATAATCTGACAAATGCTTCAAAACAAAAAAATTATATTCAAAAAAATTAATCTGTTACACTACAACTATATTTAGTTGTATAAAGAGGGCCAGAATATTTCTGGACAAACACCTTGGGGGCAGCACACTCAAATAAAATGAAATAAAAATCACTTTTTAGTCTAACATTAGGATCTGATTTGATTTATTTACAGTCGTGGGCCTGATTGGACGGTTTGACGGGCCGGATTCAGTCTGCGGGCCTCCAGTTGATAATCACCTGTTTTATTTTAAATCCTGTGACATAAGCGTCAACAGGTGCATTATGGGTGTTGAAACCACCTGTTGCGTCTGATGTAGTACCACTGAGAACCTTTCTCTTGGTTCCTGGTGCCACTCGGTGCCGACCTGGTTTGACCCCTGCTGCATCCTCCAGTGTGAAGGTGAGAACGAAGGTCGCCCTGCCTCTGATGGCTCCTAATGGCCCCACCATCTCCTCCTCCTCC